AACTTCTCTTGGTTTACGAGACCCTGGATACAGCCCAGCACACTTAACTTTCACTGCTAGATAAAAAGACAACAGAGATCAGTGCAGAGACTCCCAAGGATGCCATCTCTACCACGGTATCCTTCACTGGCTTCAGTTTGCAGATGACTACAAGGCCTTGTCCCACCCACTGCCTTAGTCTGATCCTCAGGCTGATAAAGAGTTCATCCAAAAGAAAAAGTACCCAAACCTACAGGAGTGCAACTGCATATTCTGGATTGCTTCTCAGTGGATGTGCAACCAGCCATAAAACACAGAGCAGCTTTCTGGGAGTATGCACCAGGAGTTACACTGTCTTAATTTGTTAAGTAAAACTGTTTTAATTCACAGGGATTATACAAGTTCTGGCTACCCTCTCAGTGAACTGCAGAAGGCAATTGAATAAAAGAAAATTTCAGAAGACTGTTTAGTGTTTGGCACATACATGAAACAAAGACTTAGACTGCCTTAATGAAAAAAGTACAAGGAAAAAATAATCCCAGACTTACAAAATATTTTTAAGTGTATTCCCATAGCATTTTTTAAAACCTCACAATTTATTATCTTTATGCACTCTGAGATGCTTGAGTTACTCAAGTAATTGAGTCTGGACCTTACCTGGAATTTTCTGATAATTTTTTTCTAACCACGAATTCTCAAGTTGCAAAAACTCCTTACGAAATTTTCTAACAAAAGTGTCAGTTTAAGTGAGTTTTCCAGTTCTGACAAAGAAAGCCTGAAACTGTCGAAAAGAAACATTGTCTATTTTGTTACTTTTTTTCCCCTCAATGCTTCGGCTGTTATAAATGCATGGAAAATTTTATTTTAATGGAATGAGTGAATCAGACCAAAATGCAACACCTGAGAGTCACTGGCAAGTTGGAATAGAAAATCTCAAGCCTAAGCAAGAGTTACACCGCTCTTGGGCGGCAGCGTGCTCCTCAGTCACACAACAGCAGTGGGTGAGCCCGGAGAGACTACAAACAGCCAGGCAGCTCGTTGGGCTTTGAGGGACAAAGGTACAAGCTCAGAAAATTAGCAAGGCATGAAATGAAAAGGTGTGCGCAGAAATTCCATAAATGGATAAAAAGATCACCGTCTCTCACGATTACTCAAAGCTGGCTGTTTTCATCCCGTTGCTTTAGGGAAGCACCACGCGTTAGTAAATCCCTGTGGGCCTGTCCCACCATTTGTAGAATCCTCCCTGTGCAGCAGCAGCGCAGCGACCTGCATGGTATGAAAACCTACAGCTGAACTTAAAATTATGCCTTCCACAACAAGCACTGCTAGAAGTGGAGGTGACTCTATACCACTTCCTTACCTACCTACGTCCTCCCTCAACCAATGTACATCCAGTTAACAACTAAGTGCTGTCATGTAGCACGGAGGCTTCTGAAGCAACCAACAAAACCTATGGGTAGAGTCCACATGGTACAACCCATGGGAACTCTGCAGTTCCTCTGTAATTGGGTAAGATTGGCTCATGGACGGAATCTGGGAGCATTGAGGTTGTGTTCACAAATTGTACCCACATCTATGGGTGGCAGGGATGCAGATAGGAAGAGGGGAAAGCACGTAAGTCTGTGCTTTCCAGAAAAATGAAAAAAAAAATTCAAGTATTGTCTAATCACCAGAAATGCATCATCAGTTTTTACAAAAAATTCATCATAAACTTACCTGAAACCAGATTTTTTTCTCTGCCCAAATAAAAGAAGCAACAGTGCATACAACTAGCGTAAATGCAGGCAAAGGGAGTTTACCTATGTCTAGTCACTTTTACAGTTTCACACTGCCCAACCCAAAACACCAAGTAAATAAGTCTACTCACTTCTTTCCTACACCAGGATGATATCATCAATGCATTAAAAATGCATTGGCTTGTAAGAAAGAACAAACTTGCATTTCCAGCTCCAGTTTTCCACTTTCTAACATGATGTTTAGGTTAAATATATTCTTGTTTTACTCAATCCAATATCACCTACAGTATTTAGAAAGTTTTTCAAGTTCTCTCTGAATACTCTAAATTATCTCAGTGTCTGCAATAGCTGAAAACAATACTGCATGGTCATTTATATTTATAAGTTTTAAATTATTTCTGTATAGATGACGTATATTTCACTCTGACACTTTAGTCAGCACAGGATGAACTTTTTGCCAATTCTCAGGGAAGAGCTATGGTTTGGAAAATGATGACTTAATTCATAAGAGTAAGCACCTGCAAACATTTTAACTTGTGCTCAACTCCAGTCTTTAAGTGGCTATTATCTCTAATCATTTTGTTGCATTAGAGCCTAAAAAGCCCAGAGCAACAACATTAGGTTTTGAATAGTATATGATTATTTTCCACTATTACTATCTATTTCTAAGCCTGAAAAAAGCTGAGCTGTTTTCACCACCCAACTGCAATGGCTTTTATGGCACAACCTAACCTCTCCAGAAGACAACAAAGTAATGAAAGAAGCTACATACAGCTACCGTTACTTAAGAGGACTTTTCATCAGAATAGTAGCCAAAAAAACTTCTACGTGGAAACTACCATAGACCTTTACAGGAATTTTGATATTTTTCTTGTAATGTTCTGACAAACTTGGAACGGCAACTTACCACCCATTATGTCAGAAAGTATGACCAAAATGTAGTCACTACGATATGGTGGACGGTTCATTTGAAACAGTAACCAGATTACAAAGCTATAGGTAAATTTGGAAAGGCATCTTGACCCTTATGCTTTACTGCATTGAAAGATGACTATTTATAGAGAGAGAGAGATATGTAGAGAGAGAGAAAGATATGTAATAAAGCCTGCTGCATTTCCGCTGAAGCTTCCTTCATAGAATGCCACAGTTCTTTCACCTGGATAATGATTTTAGCCTCATAATGATCACTCCAGGCAGTCTGGAAGGACTTATTTATTATAATTATCCTACAGGGAGGATAATTATAATACAGCAGCGTGGCTAAAACTGGAAAGTGACCTACCTGCTAACAATGGCTTTGGCCATGGGGCCTCCAAAACAGGGCTGAAAGCGGCTCCAAGCAGCACTTGGAGACAAACTTTCAATCCACAGTACTTCAAATTCAGTGAAAAGCAAGTTTTTATACTTTCTCCATCCTTTCGGCTCTTGAATTCTTTTTAGGTTT